TTTGTCTTACTTTCCTTTTTAGTCCATTTAAAAAAGAATGTCTCTTTATCTTTTTTGACGACTTCTTAATTCAAACTTTCCACATAGCATGTTTAAGACCACAAGATTAAAAGACATTTTGGTACATTCTACATATCTTTAGTTTAAGATCACAAGATTCAAAAGTCTTCTTTACTTAAACTCCGTTTCAAGTCAAAACCAATTAAATAAATTGAAACAGAGGGAGTACTAAATTTTGTGTTGATGATCCTCTGAGGTTGTATCAAGTAATATTGTGTATATGCCTGCCGAAAAGAATATGAATTAACTCCATACATTTGCAGGCTTTAGTAAGGAAGAGTTGATGAGCATACCAGCTGGGAGGAGGAGGAAATATCATGATGATGTGACAGTAATGGTGATAATCCTGGGAATGAACAAACGTACCTCAAAAGCATCGACTCGTCTATAAGTTTTGTCAATCTGAAGAACAATTTTGTCGATTTCATTTCATATTATTTTGTATTTTGACCTCAAAGTAAGGGAACCGAGGCCCCGGAGAGGAGGAGAGGAGGTGGTTATTTTGCTTATAGTAGAAGGTTTATGTTATTCAACCATTTTTCAATTTGTTTGAAATTGTTCTTCAAAACACCTTTACTTCATTTGTAATCTATGTATAGTGTTGCTCATCATTTTCATGAATAAGAGAAGTGTTGGAATTTCTTTGAGCATATTAGAATTGGTTCTCACTTTTATTTCATTTGGTACGATGATGACATGAGTTGAGTTTAAATGAAGCAGTGAAGATTTATATTGTTGATCCAACTTGCTTTAAATTGAGGCATCATTGTTTCTTTTATGAAACCAGGTGAATTTCTCTTTTCATTCATCTAAGTTCTGGTGAATATAGTTACTTGATACTTATGCTGATGACAAATATCAGGTATTTGGTTCATTATATGAGGTTGATAGCAAACTAGTTGGAACGTCATCGTTATAAAATATGATTATATTCCAATTTTAAGATAACAAAAGAGTCTTACTACTAACAATCATAACCAATGGTTGAAGTAGACAACCTTTGCCTTCTTTCTGTTCTTAAGTGATTCTTGACCTTTCAAGTTTGTGAAGGTTATCTATCAAAAAATAAATTTGGTCAGCTCTTTGGATTTATTCTTTGTCTAAATAAGAAGATATTATTTCATGTGAAGCTAAAAAAAGATTATGTTTTCAACTACCCCCCCCCCCCCCCCCCAAACCCCCCAATCACCATCACTATCACTATCAGTTTGTTTTTCTTTAGCTTGATTCAAATATGTGGTATGAGTCTGATCTGTAGATCACGTGTCACACTCTTATTACTGGATCAAAGTTCGAGACTGCAGGTCATTACGATTTTAGTAAGACTCGATAGTTTGGCTCATATCATGTATTTGTGCAAAAAGTAAATATCAATCCATTTGAAGAAAAAATCGTGCAATTAAATAAAGCTAAGATGATATGAAAAATTTAGGTCTTAGAGCCCGTTTGGATTGACTTAAAAGTTGGTCAAACCTATTTTTAAGTCAGTTTTTGACTTCTGAAAGTGTTTGACAAATATAAAAAATAACTTAAAATAAGTGAAAAATAACTTACAATAAGTTAAGAAGTGTTTGACAAGGTAAAAATGACTTATAATGAGTTAAAAGTGACTTAAAATAAGTCAGAAACCAAAATAGGTCTCCCCCTACTTTTTATTTTTTGATTTAAAAGTCATTTCAGTTTGACTTTTTATTTTTGATTTAAAAGTTGTTTTTTTAAGCCAATCCAAACGGGTTCTTAGACATCTTTAGCTCACCAAATAGACCAATCAAACTTTCAATTACATGATTTGCTCTTCAAGTAGGTTTATTTTTAATTTTTACTTTCAGCATCGAACTTATATCCAGCTAAACATAAACTTTTTAAGAACGTGGATCATAAATTGTAGAATATTATGATTAAGAAAATATAAACTTATATTATGCTAAAAAGTATTTTGTCTTGAAGGACAAAAATTAAGACTAAGCACAAATAGGAGCACAAGTGCAAATGTGAACAAAATTGGTGCAAAAGTGCAAATGATGACATATGAGATGGGCTTCTTGTTAATGTCCTTATACCTTTGGGCCTTTTAAACACATTACAGAAAATAAAGAACAGCCCAACAACAACAATTTTCATGGGGCCTTTTAAATTTGGACAGGTCATAATGGGTTAAGATAATTGTCGGGTCAAGACCCAATTCAATTCAAATTTATTTGGATCAAAACGGATTAGGTCAAAATGGGTTAGGTAATGAGTTATATTACTAGTCAAGACCCAATCCGATCCAATTTTTACCAAGTTTAATTTTTTTATTTGTTCTTTTAAATTTATTTGGATCAAAACGGGTTGGGTCAAAATGAGTTAGGTAATGGATTATATTACGAGTCAAGACCCAATCCGATATTTAAAGGACTACTTATCATTTAATTAAGGTTATTATTAAATTGAATTACATGTAATTATATGTTTTGTAGAACTTAATTTCTTTGGGAATAAACCTTACTCCAAACAAACAAAATCTTTTATAGCCAAAAATACACTAACTTGAGAAGGAAAAGTGTCTTATCAACACATGTACAATGTGAGGGGGAAAAAGGTGATTATATTATATAGTTCTTTATTTTTTGGTTCAAAGTATATTATATAGTTTTTATGTTCTTTCTTATTCTTGTCAGTCTATGCCACTTTCTCAATGAATGGGCAAGTTTTGAATTCTTTAGGTTACTTTTTCTTTAATTTTTTTTTTCTTCTCATATCATGAATCTTATCCAATCCAATATTCCCACCAAACATGGGACATGTACATCTCTATGAGTTCATGTTCTTGCTTCCCATGCATTTAATCTTACTAAGATTTAATATTCCTTACTTTTTTGTTATTTATCTGGTGTTTGATATTCGTATTGAGCTCCAATTAATTCAGATTCATGCTGCATAAAGTCTACTTAAAAGAAAAATATTCCTACCAAAATTGTTTTCTAGCAAATTAAAGGGATTGAAAGCGCTCCTGATGACCAATGATCTTACATGGCGTAAAAGGGAAAGCGCGAGATACCCTACGAAAATGATTTTTTTTTTTGATAAAGAGCTCTTCTCCTCATCCAAGCCTTTGTCAAAAATCATTTTTGGTAGGATTGCTTCCCCACCTTTTAGTAGTATGTAACGTGAGTTTGAATTAGTTGAGATTTAATATGAATATCGAATAAATAACCAAAAAAAAGTAATGAATCTTTCCAAATATGGAATATATATATATATTATGATTAAATGCATGCATGGGAAGCAAGAAGATGAACTTATGGAGATGTCTCATGTCCCATATTTGGTGGAAATATTGGGTTGGATAAGATTCATGATGAAAAGAAAAAGAAAGATCGGTGCGTAAATCTGAATTAGTCAGAACCTCAAATAGTTTAATTTTTTTGAAAAAAAAACCTTCTTTTATTTGCCCTTCTCTTTTTTTTCTTGAAAAAATAAAAATAAAACTTCTTAGCATAATTTATATTATATATTACTTATGAAGGGGAATCTTGGAGCAACGAAATAGTTATCTTTGTCGGATTCGAGCCGCAGAAGCAACTAGAAATATTTACATTAAGGTAGGTTATCTACATCACACATGAACACATGAAATGCTTTATACGTAACTTTTTATTTATTTAATATATATATATATATATATTACACATGCATCAACCCTATAAAACCCCTCATTATATTCTTCTTCTTCAACAACACCATCTTTCACATATATTCAACTTCCCCTCCCTCTATCCCTCCATAACTCAACATCATGTCTGGTGTTTGGATTTTCAAAAACGGTGTCGTTCGGCTAGAAAACCCCGGTGACTGCCACGTCAGCTCCACGACCGGTCATCAGAAAGTTCTAGTTCATGTTCCTAGTAATGAAGTCATTACATGTTATGCAAATCTTGAAAGAAAGCTTTATAGTCTTGGATGGGAAAGGTATTATGATGATCCACAACTTCTTCAATACCACAAAAGATCCACAATTCATCTTATTTCCCTCCCAATTGATTTTAATAGGTTTAAATCCATTCATATGTATGATATTGTTGTTAAAAATCGAAATGAATTTGAAGTTAGAGATATGTAAAGTTACTTTCTTTACGTGGATATTCGGACATAAAAAATATGAAATTTGGAGAAACAAAAAGTAGTATATGTGTTTTCGAGCTAATAATGATATATTTGGAGACTGGAGTTGTGTTTGTACATGAATATGAACTGAATTGTTTTCGAATTTTTGTAAGTAAAAATTGCTTTTTATAGTTTTTTGAATTCCGAAGAATTATAACAATTCTATGTCTGAACAATTTAATCGAATAAGGTTCCAGAAAAAAGTGAAAATTATCCATGGCTAAATGGTCACTAAGTTTGTTGAATATGTTATTGAGAAAAGAAAATCAATAGTGTATCAACAAACAAGTCGTTGTAGTATAGTGGTAAGTATTCCCGCCTGTCACGCGGGTGACCCGGGTTCGATCCCCGGCAGCGGCGTCTGTTTTTATGTTTCCACCATCGAGATCGATTTTTTTATAAAAAAAATACATTAGGCTCTCGCAACATACAACATATCTGGTTATGTCTTGCACTCCAAAACATTTTCATGTTTCCACCATCGAGATCGATTTTTTTAAAAAAAAATACATTATGCTCTAGCGACATACAATATATCTGGTTATGTCTTATGACAAGCACTCCAAAACCCGCCAACGCTCGAGAAATGCCTTGTTATGGTGTAAGTAACATCAGCTTCAGTATGTTAAGACTGATTACAAAGCAGTTACTTCACAAGTTCTTTTTCAATAAGTAATTTACATAAGAGTTTGGATGTTGTGTTCTCTGGACAACAAAAAATAAGAATGTAGTTTGTTGAAGGCTATGTTGCTCGGACTCTCCAAAATTGATGCCACACCCGTGTTCGATCCTCCAAAAATGCACTACTTTTGGAGGATCAGACATGCACCTGTCGCCATATTTAAAGAGCCTGAGCAACATAGGTTCAAGGAACTCATATAATACAGGCTAATGTCACGAACTCACTTTCTTCTTTGTCGCGCTCCAAATGTTTCAGCTCTGAACCTATACATTCCGCCATCCAATATATCTCCTCAGTCCGCGGATGAGACTTGTCATCCGATGAAAATCCGTGCAAATTCAAAGAATACTCAATGCTACCTACATCTACCCAGCTGAATCCTATCTCCTTCTTCACTCCCTTGTCTCGCATTCCTTTTCTGATATTTGCTACCTTATCCCACTGCCCCTTCTCTGCAAACAAATTCGACATCAAGACATATGAGCCTGACTGCTCTGGTTCTAACGCGATTAATGTATTGGCTACTCTTGTTGCCATGTCAACATTTCCATAAATCCTACAAGCACCAAGTAAGCTTTGCAGCACGGACAAGCCAGGTCCTCCGGGAATCTGAGCCAAGAAAAATTCAGCTTCCTTTAGCCTCCCTGCGCGACCAAACATGTCCACCATACAAGCATAGTGCTCTGAAGATGATTCGATGGAATAATCTCTAACCATGGAATTGAAGATATCTATTCCCGTATCAACCATTCCTTTTCGACCACATGCTGTTAGTATAGAAAGAAACGTTATTGAGTCCGGACTCACGCCTTTCTTCTTCATCTCCTCAAACAAAGCCATAACTGATTCATAATCACCATGTCTCGAATGAGCAGAAATAATAGCAGTCCATGAAACTTGACTCCTGTCTGCTACCTCATCGAAAACTCCTTGAGATTCAGAGATACTCCCACGTTTTGCGTACATGTCAAGGAGAGCACCTGAAACAATTGGATTGCTGTTGAATCCCCGCTTTATCAAACAAGCATGGCATCGCTGGCCATGCTTTAATGAAATACACTCAGATGAGGCAATTGCGCTCAAGACACTGCCAAACGTGTATTCATTTGGTGGTAACTCCATTGACGCTGACAAGAATGTTTGTAAAGCTTCTCGAGACATCCCATTTTGAGCATATCCAGAAATCAAAGCATTCCATGATATGAGATCTCTCTGGTCGAGCTCTTCAAAAACCTTTAACACGTCTTCCATTAATTCAAACTTAGCATACATGGTAACGAAGCTATTAGCAACATTCAGTTCAGAGAAGAAGTTTGTCTTTAAACAAAATCCGTGAACCATTTTGCCTTCTGTCAACGAATTCTTGACAGTTATAGAATGAACTAATCCAACAAACGTAACGTGATTGGGGTAAACCCCATCTCTCCGCATCCCATTGAAAATAGATACAACATTTTCATCATTCATGGAAAGCATTGTTGTCCAAGACACAACGTTACGTTCATTCATACTTTGGAAAACCTTGTTCGCATCTTCAGTCACATCGCACTTATAATACAATGATATCAAAACATTACACACAGAAACATGAGTACCATACGCCATTTTAATAACCAAGCCATGTATCTGTTTCGCAAGCTCCAAACATTTCTCCTGTCCACAAGCAGATACAGCACTAGTAAACGACACATGATCAGGTTTCACCCCTTCCCTCATCATTTCCCTAAACCCCGAGGCAGCCTCCCCTGAATAACCCCCTTCCTGTGCATACCCCGAGAGCAATGCATTCCACGAAACCAAATCCTTACACGACATTTCAAGAAACACTCTTTCACCTTCCACTATATAACCACACTTTGAATACATAGTCACAAGTGCATTTCCAACGAAAACATCATTCTCAACTCCGAACCTCATTACAAGTGAATGCAACTGAATACCAAAACGAAATTCCTCTTCATCCGTACAATGGCTAATAGCAGTAGTATAACTTACAGCATCGTAAACAACCCCAACAGAATGCATCCAATGAACAAAACCCAATGCCTCTATACCATTTTCGAACCCCGAAAGCAGGGTGTTATAAGAAACTCTATCTGGGAAGTTCAACCCATCAAATACACACATAGCATTATTAAACTTTCCAGTTTTACTATACATACTCATCAATGAATTTGGAACAGTTACGTGCTCAATGAACCCACTCCTAATCGCCAAGCTATGAACTTGAGTTCCAAGATTCACATCTTCTCGACAACCCTTTAGAGCTAAAGCTACAACAACTTCATCAATTTCTGATATACCCATTTGGAGTTGATTCTTGAAGAGATTAAGAGCTTCAATTTTGCGGTTTTGCTGTATATAATTGAGCATGGAATGGTGAATGGAGATAAGAGCTGGTTTAGTAATTGTATCAAACAGTTGGTGTGCATTGTGAAATGAACAGAAATTTTGAGTTGTTAAACGGCGGGTAAACATGGGAAGATAAACCCTCCTAAAACCCTTTTCAATTAGGGGATATATATATACACACATGCACCGTTCGGTACGAGAGATAAAAAATAATTAATCATGTAGCATGAGTCTATCTCATGTTTGGTTGAGATAGTATCGTGAAATAACTTGGGGATATATATATACATGCACCGTTCGATACGAGAGATAAAGAATAATTAATTGTGTAGCATGAGTCTATCTCATGTTTGGTTGAGATAATATCATGAAATAACTTATTCTAAGATTGTAGTGTTATTTTTATCTCACATTGAGGATGAAATAACTATCCTTGAATAACTAATCTCGGGATAGTTAATTTGAATGATTTGTTTCCAACCAAATAGGTCCTTATATTATTTTTTAAACTTGCCGACAAATTTATTTAGACACTCGAATCATGACTTTTTTCGATTGAACATAGGAATATGATAAAGCATTTGTATTAATACTGTTTTATCTCAAATCTACAACAATAATATATTTAGTGCAATTCTATAAGTGAAATTTGACGAATATAGTGTGTACACAATCTTTACTTCTATATGGAAAGATAGAGAGGTTTTATGATAGAGCATTGACTTAAAGGATAGTAAAACTAGTTCACTTCAAATTTAAAAAATAAATAAAGTATACAAATCTTAACTTTTTTTTGTTTCTTCTAATTAGTATGATTAAATTTGAATTTGCATATTACATGATCCATTGTTTGAGGTGGCGATTCCAATAAAATATTTTCCATTTAAGCCAAAGTGTCGAAGGAATTTTAACCATTCTTGTATTCTACTATATTCTTGTTAGTAATATTTTCTCTTTCAAATACTCTATTACAAAATTACTCCAATGGATAATTAGTACTCCATATAAATTAATATAATAATTATTTTTTTTTGAATTTCGAATTTCAAATTTCAAATTCAATTTAATCAATAAAATATTATATATTTTCAATTTCCATAAAAATAAGTAAATTATCCAAATAGTTCAATTGATTTTACTGTATTACATATAAATACTTTAAAAATAATATTTTTTTACTTATCGAATAATAAAATATAAATAAGAAGGTTTTCCCCCCCACTACATATAGGGTCCAAAAAGGAGCAAAATTAGCCAACTTTTTCCACTTATCTTGTTATTATACCTTAATTAGTCCCAAATCTAGAAAAATTAATATTTTTTCTTTCCATATTAACCAAAAAAGCTACTTACCATTTTTATTTTCCTCTCTTTTCCCTATTTCAAGAATTTTCTATTGTTGCCTCTGTTCATATTTTGAGCAGCAAAAAATAAAAAAAAAACCTCTTTAATTCGCCCATATTCCTCATATTTTGAGGTTTCATAAATAATTGATATAATTTTTTGAACTTCTTTTAGCTCTGATAATTTTCATCAATGGAAGCTGCGCCTTTCTTCCTCACCAATTTTTCTAGTATCAGGTATTCATTTTTTCTTCAGTTAGTTATCGACCCATTTAACTAAATTCTATCTTTTGATGTTTCATTTTATTAGAATTTTAATAAAAATTGTGTTTTTGCCTTTGGTATTGCTGATTGTTAGCTCAAATTGTATTCATATAACTGGGATTAGCTGATTATAAGTAGTAATTAGATAAATAATGGACCTCAAATGATTTGGGATTGAAGTATTGTTAATTGGTACTCCTTTCGTTTCAATTTGTTTGTTTGTCTGGTTTTGATTTGATACAGAGTTTAAGGAAGTAAAAAGCTTTTGAATCGTGTGAGCTTAAATTAAAGATGCATAAAATGCATCAAAATGTTCTTTAGTCTTAAACATGCCAGGTAGAAAATTAGAATTAAAGAGTTGCCGAAAAGAGAAAAGAGAAAAGAGGCATTCACACCCAAGGGTGTGACCTACTACTTGTAAATGAAGTAGTTGAGAGTCATAATGTCTCAGGTCCTAATCCCAGTAGAGATGAAAAAATACTCGGTGATTCTTCCTATTTGTCTTAGGCTTAGTAGGATAGATTTACGTGGTACCTGTTGTTGGTGGGAGGTATCCTGTGGAATTAGGTGAGAGTTGGAGACCATGTTCATCAAAAAGAAGAAGGGAAAGTGACATTCTTTTTCAAATGGACTAAAAAATATAAGACTAACAAGTTGAAACAGAGGAAGTAGTTGATTTTATATAGCGAGGTCTTTCGGAAACATCCTCTCTACTCCACTAGGTAGGGGTAAGGTTTGCATACACTTTACCTTTCCCAAACTCCACTTGTGGGATTTCAGTGGATATGTTGTTGTTATAGTTGATTTTTATATCTTTTAGCTAAGTCCAATGTGTTTATCTAGTTGTTTAGTGGTGAGTTCATTATTTATGTATGTACATATTGTAAAAAATAATTACAGAAAATGCACCTCAATATGTAAGCTTGACTTTGGATATGGTGGCTTTTCGATTTCACTAGGGCTAGTTTAAGGATTTTTAACACGGGTGGTGTTTTACTTTGTAATGTGATTGCAGGTTGTTTAGTCTATAGTAGAGATGGAGGAGACAGGGCAACTTAAAAGGGCATTAATAGATGCCACAGCGGGGGCAGTTTCTGGTGGTATATCGAGGACTGTAACCTCACCTCTCGATGTAATCAAGATCAGATTTCAGGTGTATATTCTGTATATATTTAGTGCTGCTTTAACTTTTGCAGTTTGGGTTCATGAACTTGGCCGTTGGGGCGTCTAATGCAGTGACATTAAACACGTATAGTACAACGTCAATTTTCACAACTAAGGAAGCTTTTTGTATTTCTTAGTCAATCTCAAAAACTGTGGCTCACGGGCATGTAGTTGAACTTCCACATTGTAGTATAGTAGCATGTTTGGCCAAGCTTATGTAATCTACTTATTTTAATAACCTTTTCTTAGCTTTAGCATCCCGATTCTGGTTCCTTCGTTCTTGCATCCATGGTGCTAGAAAATGCTCAACACAATCCAGTGTGTCTAAATAATCTAAAAAAACTTGAGAGGAACAAAACTTTGAAATAAAAGCCATATAAGACATCAATTAGTTTGTAAAAATTATGTTCAATTGGTTCTTCTTTATATTAAATTAATAAAATCAAAATTAGTAGGTATGTTCAATTGGTTCTTCTTTATATTATATCAATTACGATAGACTTATACATTCTTTCATTTAAATGTGATGATGCTGGATTTTGTTTTAGCCTAGTTACTGAAGGTGGCTTTAGATGATGATCTCGAGCCTTTAAGAAGAATGTCAGTTCTTTTTCTTTTGTCCTTTCTCAAAACATACACTCTATCTCTCTCTTTACAACAACAACATACCCAGTATAGTCCCACAAGTGGGATCTAGGGAGGGTAGGATGTACGCAGACGTTACCCCTACCTTTATTGGGTAGGGAGGTTGTTTCAGCATAGACCCTCGACTCAAAAGAAAAGTTTTCGAAGCTGGGAAAATATTCTCTCTCTCTGTGCATTATTTTATTCTATCCTCCATCTCTTGCTTGATTGTACATCAAGAGCTAAATGTTTTCTTATTTACCAATGTTTCAGGTCCAACTGGAACCCACTAATCAGTGGGCCTCGCTTCGGAGAGTTGTGCATGGAACTTCTAAGTACACTGGGATGCTGCAAGCTACTAAGGATATACTCAGGGAAGAAGGCTTAAAGGTATTTGTTATTTTTGTCATGAGAATTTTGGAAATCTTGCAAAGATACTCGAGGCTTGCATTTGAGGCAGCATCTTATGCTCTGCACATAAATGGATTGCTGAGTGCAGTAAATTATTGATTAACTAACTGCTCAAAACAAAATATTTCCTGCATTGCATATAGTTAGATATGTCCGTGCTGATTCTATTTTTTTCTCCATTGCCTATAAAGTTTAGTCTTAATAGAATAAACACCGTGCTATATGACTTTTTGTTGAAACTTTGTTCTCATAAATATGAGATATTCATTTCAGCTCTCTTCTGATCTCAACTTTTATTTTGTTATAGGAATTGTGGAGACATGATTGATAGTATTTGTTGGTTAATTTTAAGGTCAAGCTTGTGGCTTTGTTCTTCCCGACTTATTCTAGCACTGACAAGTCTGACTACGCAAACATTTGAAAAAGTAATCTGCTTATATAAACACTCGATTCACACAAAAGCAAAAAGTAAATGGTGACGTCTTTTCTAACGCAGTAACCAGTGTAGGCCTTGGAACAGTAAAAGTCTAACATGGGTTCTTCCAAGTGCTAATTCCTATGTTCTTCATCTAATAGTGTGTGTTGGCCCACCAGGGAGGGAAAGGGGGGGGGGGGGGAAGAAGGAAGTAGTTTGTAGTTAATTATTTTAGCAGTTGATGTCTTTCAAACTTGATGCTAGTTCTGGTAAATTCATTTTGGTTGCACATATCCATTCTTGCCACAGGGTTTCTGGCGGGGTAATGTTCCAGCTTTGTTGATGGTTATGCCATATACTGCCATACAATTCACAGTGTTGAAGCAGTTGAAAACTTTTGCTGCTGGTTCTTCAAAGACAGGTTCGTCAGAATACTCGTCCCTGATATAGAGGAAGACAAATAGGATAGCATTTGAAGGGGGTAAAAAATTACTTTCTATGGCTGAGATCACTTTCTACCGTTTTCATTAACTTTTGATGCACAGGTGAGATCTTTGGTAGCATAGATGGCTAGGTGTCAATTGTAGATAACCATATCTTTGTAAAGGTTCTGTACTTTGTTATACGATTTCTACACCGATTTTCTTGTTACATCAATATTATTCATCCCTGCCTGGAAATAACAGCAATATACCCAGTTAAATCCCACGCGTGAGGTCTTGGGAGGGATGTAAGCCGACCTTACCCCTTCTTTGTGGGCCGACCTTACCCCCTCTTTGTGGGCCGACCTTACCCCTTCTTTGTGGGGTAGAGAGGCTGTTTCCGATAGACCCTCGGCTTTGAAGGTCATCCCTGCCTAGATGTTGAAAGTTATGCTTAACATGTCTGATGTCCCTGACTGTGTTTTATTCATTGTGATTTGAAGCATTTCTCTTCTCGTGAGATCTACAAATTTCTGCACCTTTTGTGGTGTTAAAAATAATGTTTTTTTAGGTGTTACATCTCATCAATGATCTTCCTGAAATCTGATGTAGTTATTTCGATGTTAAGACAACGCTCTTCACAGAGCGTTTTGTGCAAACCATTGGCAAGCCTTAGCATTTGATGGTTTGACTGTTTTGTATGATGCAGAAGATCACATCAATTTGAGCCCGTATCTTTCTTATATCAGCGGAGCATTAGCAGGATGTGCAGCTACAGTTGGTTCATATCCATTTGATCTCCTGAGAACCATTTTAGCCTCCCAAGGGGAGCCAAAGGTAGTTGGCACGTCTTTTGTAGGTTCCAAGATATTCTGTGACGTGCCCCCACATATGTAACCTGTACTTTTTGCTGCTTTTTATCTTGCAATTTGATCATGAAAGTTGATTAACTAAAGCCTTTTTGTTTAATCATGGTCTGTTTTTCTTCTTAGAAGTTTGAAAAGTTGACAAATTATACTTGTAGATAGGTCGTGTCTGGGTCTACTCTTTGTCCTTTGGTGTTGAGATAGTTGAGTCACCCTTCCTCAAGTAAGAGGTTATATAAACGTGGTGAAACATGATAAGCAATATAACAAATCAAGAGACATTACTATTTAAAAGATAGGGGGATACAGCAAGTACTTTGTAAACAAACATTGATAAGTGTAAAAGCATATTTCATCAATTTTATAAGTTAACATCCGAGTAAAAAATATTACCACTGTTACACAGTGTTAGAAGTGTCAATTCGACTTAAAGCTGCAAAATGTATTTTTTTTTTCAATTTTTTCAAAAAGAGTTACCTTTCCAATGCGTCACTTAAGGTAAGAATTATACCTTTTTCCTTATTTTCGTCATGTCCGCATTGCCTTGTAGAAGGTTTGCAAATTCGGTCAATAGTTCTTTGTGAACCAAAGGTCAAATGAAGCGCTGACACCTATGTTTTAAGGGACATAGTAAGATCTTAAGGTATATACTATTTCTAAATGCCTATTAATGAAGATTTCATGTGATTGATTGTTATGCCAATGTTCAGGTTTATCGAAACATGAGGTCTGCATTTGTTGACATATTCAGAGCTCGGGGTGTTCCAGGACTCTATGCTGGATTGACACCAACACTAGTTGAGATTGCTCCATATGCTGGTTTGCAGTTTGGAACTTATGATACGTTCAAACGTTGGATGAAGGTAAACCTTTTAGTCCCTCCAAATTATATTCATTACGATGCTCTTTTTGTCTTGGTCTTGGCATGTTTGATACGAGGTTGTGATTGTTTGGGCCATTGGGATGATGTAGTACCTGTGTGAATGGGACTCTCTTAGAGGGTTACTTGTTTAACTTGCCAATCATTATAGTAACATGCAAGATATAGTCTACCCAACAATTTCCAGATTTTAAACTGGTTATCCCTTTCTTCCACTTGCTTTTGTTTTGAAGGGAATCCACTCAGTCTGTAGCAGTCATTAGTGCATCTGAGACTGGAATATCCATCCATTAATCAACTACGCCTCAGTCCATGGGTGGGGTTCAACGAGAGGTAGAGGCAGGCCCCGAAGAAGTTCCGAGGAGAGGTGATTTTATAGGACATGGCACAAATTAAGCTTATCGAGGACATGACCTTAGACATGAGGATATGGAGGTCGTGAATCAGGGTAGAAGGTAGTTGAGGGTTGTCTCAATCCCCTGAGGGAAGCCTTGGTGGGTAGATAGTATTAGAATTGATTATTCGCGTAGTTTCTTGTTCTTCGATCACTTGCTACTCCCTGTTGTTTCTTGTTGTTGTTGCAAGTTTACATGATGTTAAAGTTTATTCTAACAGTTGTTTGCACAGTTACTTTGGCTTACACAATTTGGCCTAATTTTTTGTAGGCCTGGAATCTTCTTAGATCTTCTAACTCAAGCCAAGGTGATGAGTTTATTTCAAGCTTTCAGCTGTTCATCTGTGGTTTAGGTTCTGGAACATGTGCTAAAGCTGTCTGCCATCCTCTTGACGTGGTTAAAAAGAGGTTCCAGGTAGATTTCCTTCCTTTTTATCTCGTGCCTCGGTATAATCATCAGGTTAAAAATTACTAAATGAGATTTAAGACATTTAGGGACTTGACCATAAAATGGAGGCTATTAGTCTGTTTATTTGTCTGTAACTATCGAATTCTGAAACCATTAGCACTCCTGTTATCGTCATGGATTTTGAGAGTAAATGTGGTTTCTTGTGTTAGCTACTTATTTCTTGTTCCCATTGTGTATTCTTCTCTCAAGCCAAATATAAGATTACCTTATCATCATTAAAGGGGAGCCTTTACGTAACCGGTAAAGTAGTTGCTATGTAACCAGGAGGTCACTGATTCGAGCTGTGGAAACTGCCTCTTGCAGAAATGTAGGGTAAGGCTCCGTATAATAGACCCTTGTGGTCCGGCTTCCACGGACCCACGCTCGCGTATAGCGGGAGCTTAGTGCACCAAGCTGCCCTTTTTTAATTACTTCATATCATTATAAGCATCAAGAAAACAAATGAATAGATGCAAACTTATTGCATAATGGACCTGGGGGTTCCATTGACCTTGTGTCTCAAGTCACAAGTTCGAACTAAGTCTCGTATTTAAGTGAAGAAGGGTAGAGGGTGGGCCCACATTCCCGATTTCCATAGGCTTGGTTGGCTCCAGACAAATTTCTCGATCATAAAAAATAATTATTGCATATTGTGTGAGCTTCTGATATTCAATCACATACGAAACTGTTATTTCAGATCAGCTAATGAACTACTACCATATCTCCTTACAGATTGAAGGACTACAGAGGCATCCAAGATACGGGGCTCGACTCGAGTCTCATGCTTATAAAAATATGTACGATGGCCTCCGCCGGATCTTGCTAGAGGAAGGTTGGGCTGGACTATATAAAGGCATTGTCCCATCAATTGTTAAAGCAGCACCTGCTGGTGCTGTAACATTTGTTGCCTATGAATATACATCAGACTGGCTTGAGTCCATTTTGACTTAAAAACTGCTCTATTCTTTTTTCTTTCCCTCCCTATTGGTTCGAATCCTACTTTAGAGAATTCGACATGCATTAGTGATATTTTGGAAGAGTCCTAGCAACATGAGTAGTGTCCATTTTGTTAATTTTGGTGATACGGAATTCCGACGTCATTTTTGCTATGGAGCATCAGATTTGTATAAATCGCAAGTAGACATTCATTTGTATAAAAGCGCAACGATTGTATATATGTAACTACTATGTATATGTATCAATAATTGTGTTTGTGTATCTGCATAAAATTTGAATTTGTATACAATTGAATCGAAATAAAACATTTGTATATCAAATCTCTCTCTCGCTTAATACAAACACAAATTATTTTGTGTTTGTATAAAGTGAGAAAAAGAGAACTGGTACGAGAAGATTTGTATTTGTATAATTATAAGTGTATATGACGAAAATATATGTATTTGTATATACAGTTTTCTCTCGCTTTATACAAACGCAATTTATACATTTGTGTTTGTATAAAGTGAGAGAGACGAGGGAGAGTGGCGAACCAGATTCTCTGGAGAGAGAGGCGAATGACAAGTGTTTGCTCCGAATTACAAGTAAATGAAACAGTGGTTATAACATTTAATTTGAATTAATAGTTTGCTATTTATACAATTTTCCTATAAATAAACATAACAACAAGCGCATTTACTAATCGCTAATTTAATCTTCTTCATCACCACGATCACGATCACGACCACGACCAAATGAAAGAAACTGAACTATGAAAAGTAAAACTATAGACAAGAAGAGTAATTCAATTGGGGTAAGAATTTGTGATATAGATTTGGTGATTGCTTCTCCGATCATCACAAATATCACCAGCACCACATAATCGATCATAGAGTGTATGCATGTGATGAAGTTACAAAGGAATAAAATTATTTCACCAATTGTGCAAGTAATGTCATATAATATAATATTCTATTTTTAAAAATCTGTGAAAAATTTGTGGGACTCTTTTATCATTCCATCTTTACATAAAATGTCAATTATATATTATATTTATTGAGAATTTTCTCAAATAGTCACTATAATAAATTTAATTATACTTTATAGCTATAATTTGTATATTTATGGGTTGTAGCTACAGTTGGCGGGTGCGTTTGTATAATTGATTTATTTTTGTATAAATTCGAAATAACAAATTTATACAAACACCAACATATGAAATTTAACTATAAATTATATTATACAAATTATACAAACGTGAGAATTATACAAACTCAAAATCTAATCAGCCCACATAATTATCACTGAATGTTGGTCGCGAATGATAATTAACTAAAACTATAGTTATGATGACTAATTAACTCGTACATGTTTGCTTAACCATGTAATTTTTATCTAAACTATTTTATTTTTTTCGAGTTTCATATTTAAACTATCAAGTATGCGAGTTTTTTACCTGAATTATCACCTAACTATTTATTACGGTGATGACCAAATTAATCATTTGGCTAGATACATACATAAATCAATTGTCATAGTCAACATTTTTTGAATCAGGATATGAGTGATGTTATCTTATGTTGAATTTTGGATAAACCACTCATGTAATTATGAAACTTTAACTTCTCTATGTATAAACCAATTACTAATTTATTGTACTTATTCATTGAGATTTTCTTGTAATTCAGATTAATAATTTGCATATCTTCAAAACATATTTCTTAAGATATATACATAGTTTGAATTAAAGTTAATTTATGTTGTACACATTATCAATTGACCCCCTTTACCATATGTGACTCAACCTTATTAGGTAATTACATATAAATTTTCATAATATGATATAAATAGCAACAATAGAGAGAAGAGATCTGGTCACGAATTGAAAAATAAAACTCCATTTTCAGGAAATTGCATATTGTCATCACCTTGTAATCTACTAATACATGATAAAATACAATACTGATAACATGGTTCAATCGCAATGGAATCTTTCCACACCTACAATAACAACAATAAAAATTTGTTAGATTTTTCTATAATAACATTATACGTAAAGTTATTTTTTGGTGGCATTCCAATGAAAATTTTCATTGTTACAGTGAAATACTTTTATAAAGAATGGTTGTATCTATTAAAAGGCATTGCATATGTGTCATTTTCCAAATGGGATATATAGTAAATGCCAAAAAATAAGGATGGATGCAACACCAATTCATTTTTGCTAATTATAGTACTGTAATATTGGTTTGATTCTCCTTGCATATTTATAATAAAGTTTTTTTTGTTTAATTGAAAACCTTTAAACTTTAAATCATGATTCAAATACGTATAAATATTTTTAATTTTTTTTAATTAATATATGTGGTATCTTTCCGATTTTAAGATACAAACAAGTCGTTCTTTGATCGTAATTTTTTTCAATGTTTTTTAGTTATTTTGAATTGTTATTATTGTGACTTAGACTATAATACCTTAATTTTAAGTAGTTTCAACATTTTTCATCTCAAGTTCTCAACCATGTCAAAATATATTGTCAAAATAAAAGGTTTGACTCTCGATAGAAAAATAAATTATGTCACATAAATTGAAACAAAGAGTAAACATTTGTTTGGGATAAAATCATAAAACAGCCATCCACATTATAAACAAACAATATAGTATATAAACATAACATCAAGTGCATAAACTAAATACCAAAAATTAAAACAAACTTTATTTCATTGAAAAAACTAAGAGAAATATTCCAACACCAATACTATAGTCTAACACGCATGCAGATTATAATTAATTAACTAAATCCAAACTTTAAAAAAAAAAATCTAGTTTTGCTATTAATCATCTCAAAATTAAAGTGATTACTAAAGAAATTTAAAAAAATTACTTATCACCACCACCATTATTAGGTTTTGGCATTTTAGCAAAAGAAGCAATAAGAACAATAATAAGTAGGTTGCGTAAATATCCATTTGATAATAACCACAAATAAAAACAACAACCCAAACCCGCCCACGAAAAACAAGACCTCGTCCATAGCTAGATATCGATCAGGGTTCAGGGTTTAGGGCTCGGTAATAATGTAACAAATAAGAACAATGTTGAATTGTGTGTGTGTTGGAGGTGTTATGCATGTGAGACTATTTATAGGTAGAGTTTGGATTTGGCTCCCCTCGTTACATTTTCTCTTCATTTCGTCAAGTACATATCTAGATGAGAGATATGTATACTATTTAATTTTTAATGATCAAAATTATATTACATTAACAAATAATATAACCACAATTAAGTAAGCAATTTTTGGAAAATTATATTCCAAATTTGGTAAGAACAAGATATTCCCCATAATTTTTTTGAAATACATTAATATCATTAATTTTTGTGATACTCAAATTTTTCTTTGGTACTTTTCAAATTATGAATTTTCCTCTTTATTTTTACAGTCAATATATTTTTTTTCTCCTTGGCAAGAAATGTTATTAATTTATTTGCTTGCCAAAGTTAATTTTGACAGTTTTCCTATATTATAAGATAGTAATAAAGGTCTCCGATTCTGTCTTGCAAATAACCAAAAATAAGGATAGTAAATTAAGATATAGTTTATTTTATATATATTGACGGTATAAATATTATTTTTAATTAAGTAGGACATAATTTTGTTTAAAATAATTAATTAACTTTTGTAAAGAGATTTATATGTAACTACTTAATAATCCGTAATTTTAATGGGGTAAATATGTTATATACCATCAAAATGTATCAAACTTTAAATTTAGACAAATAATTAAATTGATTTTGAACTCGTAATTTGTGTGTGAGGATTGCAAGTTGTAAGTCATGTTTATTTATAAGTCTGTGTGTGACAAAGTCTTTAATTCACAATTGATAAATTTAAATTTAAAAATAAGGATCAAAATGGCCAATTAAAGATGAAATTTCTTGTCGACTCTCTATAAGATCGTAAGCTAAACCGGTGTTGCGGAATCGTTAATGGGCTAATGGGCCTACTGCTTTGGAAAGGGAAATGGACCAAATATCCGAACAGGCCCTTTTGAGCCCACAAGCCCAAATGTTCATTTCTTAGCCAGGGGTTAAGATGGAGTCAGAATTTCTAGTTTAATTGGGTTTTGAATTCTTTTAGAAAAAATTACTTAAGCTAATATCATACTCTCTAAAATTTTCCTATTATTTTAAAAAAAATTACAAAAATTCTCACTCAGATTCTTGGATAAAAAATAAAATAAAATAGGGCAAATATTTGAGATCATGCCACATGTTTTTCCGTTTAATCAAAGGGTATATATGATCCAAAATTATGACGGTAAGGGTATGTATGGCCCAAAAGTATAATGAATGATATACACATACCATTTTTGAAAGTTCGGGGGTATATTTGACCTTTTTCCCCTCTATAATACATCCTATCCCCTCTCAGATGTATCCATGAACTATGTATCCGCACTTCCACAAGTTTTCTAATGTATCCTAGATCTTATAATCTTAAGGAATTTTTGTAATTTGGGAAAGAACAGAAATATGATGTAATTTATACATTCTTTTATGATAGTTGGAACAAACTGATGATTTTCTTTTTTAAATGAGATATTTTTGTTGACAATTTTTACTCTTCAATAGGCAAAATCAATGGATAAATGGTTGGATAAATTTTAATATTAGCAACCAATGAATATTTTCTCACCCCACCCCCCAAAAAGAAAAAGAGTACCCTCAACATTAGATGAAGAGACAAAAAAATTGGTACTTACAACATGGGGCATAATTGACCACAAATATTTTTTCAAGATCAAGATTGAGCTTTCCACATGGCAAAAGTTCATTGGCTATCAACCCTTTGTTTAGATAAGAAAATGGATAAGACATTCTCAATGGCAATTCACTATTTCATTTTTTTGTTCCATTACCTACATAACATTTATTTTTAACACAAACCAAACCATTCCTCTTTGCTAAAAAAATCAACTAGTAGTATATTGAGTTGATCAAATGGCTTCCATGACAAT